TTTTTATAAATTTATGATTTCATAGCTATTAGTTAATGGTTTAATGAACTAACTTTTTGATTATATATTATGATACTCATCTTGCACAAATAAATATATGTATACTCATCTTCCAAAAAAATTGATTTCATAGCTGTGCTAATTTTCTAATAGTACTAAATGTATTATATAATGTTGTTTTAGGTGAAATGGATTCATCTAGCTATAATTCAACAACACACTCTAATATCCCATCATTAACAAGAGGTAAATCTGATCCGGCATAGGACCATGTAACTAAGGGGTGAGCTTCCAATGGGGAAAAACTTTAACATGTTTGTATTGTGGGAAAACTATCAAAGGTAGAGGGATTACTAGAATGAAACAACATCTTGCATGAAAGTCTGGTGAGGTTGGTCCATGTAAGAAAGTTTTAGATGATGTTAGGTACCGAATAGAAGAGGCTTTGAAAGTAATTATTGAAAAAAAAAAAAAAAAAAAAAACAAAGTGAGGAATCTAATCCCTTTGGTTGGGATGTTTTCAAATTTAAGGATGATGTTGAAATTGAAGAAAAAATTCCATAAAGCAATAAGGGCATCTAATTAATGAAAGTGGTGGTAGTAGGAATAAGAGTAAAGCAGCAATGAAACGAAAAGGAAAAGGAAAGGAACCTGCAAAAATTGATAATTTTTTTTGCACCAAGGACCACTCCGAACTCTCAACCAACTATCAAAAGTGCCCTTGCAACTAAAAAAGCTGTACATAGGGCACATATGATTGTGGCAAAATTTTTGTATGACACATGTGTTCCAATGAATGTCGTTAATTCTAAATACTTTCAGCTCATGTTTGATGCTGCAATCGCCATTGGTCCAATATATAAAGTACTTACGTACCATGAAGTTCGAGTTCCTTTATTGAATGACTCAAAGAAAGAACTTCAATTGTTTATTAACTCTATAAAGAGTAATTGGGCTGACACTGAGTGTACAATTATGGGTGATGGTTGGACTGTTGGTAGACATAGAACTCTCATTAATTTTCTTGTATATTGTCGTAGAGAAACTACTTTTGTTAAATCTGTTGATGCCTCTGATGTTGTAAAAGATGCTTTGAAGAAATTATTAAGTGGGTGAGAGTGAGTAATATTGTGTACATGGTGACAGATAATGGGGCAAATTATGTTGTTGCTGGAAGACTTGTTAGTCAAACTTACAAGAATATTAATTGGCCTCCTTGTGTAGCACATTGTTTGAACTTAGTGTCAAGTGATATTTCCAAGTTGAAACATGTGAAACAGCTTGCCTTTAGAGCATCAAGTGTGACAAGATTTATTTACAATCACCCATGGTTGATAGCTTGGTTGAGGAAAATGAAGGGATGGACTGAAATTGTCCACCTAAGAACAACCTGTTTTGCCACTACTTTCATTGCATTACATAATATTCAAAAACATATGCATGATTTGAAAGCCTTAGTGACAAGTAAGGATTTTGTCGATTCAAGGCATGCAAAGATAAGAAAGCAAAAGAAGTTGTTGCTATCATTTTAGACAGTAAGTTTTCAAATGTTTGCTTGATCATTGTTAAGATTGTTAAGCCATTCATGAGATTGTTGCGTATTGTTGATGGAGATAAAAACACCTTTAATGGAATATGTATATGATGGCATGTATAGGGCAAGAATAGCAATTAAAAATGTTTTCATGAAGAAAAAAACATTGCACAAGCCTTATACAAGTATTATCAAAGATCGTTGGGATAGGACATTACGCAAAAATATCCATGTTGCAGCTTATTGATTGAATTCAGCTTTTCAATATGATCAAGTATCATTTTGCAAAAAACCAGAGGTTTTGGGAAGTATGCTTGATGTGATAGAAACAAAAGCAACATGTAGCAAGACAAAACTCTTGGATGAAACTAGATTGTTTCGAGATCAATTAGAAAGTTTTGGAAGAGAGCTTGCTACTATTACATCTAAGACAACACAACCAAGTAAAATTATTTATTACATTTGATTTTTTTCATTGTGATTTCTTAATAAATTTTTTAAGTGTAATATTAGATCTAATTTATTTATTTTTTTAGATAATAAGATGAATGGTGGAGGTTATTTGGCCATAGTGTTCTAAATTTGCAAAAGTTAGTTATTCGAATTCTTAGTCAAACTAGTAACTCTTCTGGATATGAAAGGAATTGGAGTATTTTTGAACGTATACATACGAAGAAGATGAATAGATTGGAACATCAAAGGCTTAATGATCTTGTATACATTCATTATAATTTGCAGTTGAAGAATAGGTAAATGAACCATTTACCTTGTCATGCATTTACTAATGGAATATTTATTCAAGTAGTCTTATTTTTAAGTGAAAATTGTAGGCATTTCAACAAAATGAAGAACTATGATCCAGTTGACATTGAAAGTATTTCCAAAACTGAGTTTTGGATTGTTGAAGATGAAGAAGAGCCTTATCTTTTTGATTTTAATGAGTTGGGACAAATATTTGTAGTAACAAATTATAGGCATTAATGCTTTATCAAGAAAATAAGAGGCAATGTCATGGTCTACGTGATAGTTAGTAAGTAATAATTTCATTATTATATAACAATTTTTTTTGTTATTATTAAATTGATTACTTATTGATTTTGTTGTAACTATTGTAGAAGATGACGAGGATGATATGGTCTTAGAGGTTAGAGATGATATAGACCTTGGATCATTTAGTGATGTCAACGTGGATGATAGATCTAATGCTCAAAGTGGTGGAGTTGGCACAGGCAACAATGAAAATGAGGTTGACGATGGTTGGCTAACGGTGGGCTTCCCAAGGAATTAGGCAAAAAAGCTTTTTATGGCATGATGTGTTTGTAGTAGATTGGTTTTGAATTTTTTTTTAATATTCATTTATCTACTTTCATTTAGAAAGGATAGATGCTCATTAGTGTGTTTTAAGATTTGGAATTATAGATCTTCTCTCTATGCTTGCTTGGTTTATGTTTGTGTTTAAGATTTGACTCTTAATTAATGAGTAAATTATAGTATTTTTATTTGACTATGTTTGTGTTTTTATATGTCAAATAAGTAATATTAATTACTTTTAGTATAATACTTTTATTATTTTCATTATTATGATTGTATTTATAATATTTTCTATTTTCGAACTTTGATATATGTGTAGATTGTGCGGTGATTTTTGCTTGTCAAAAGTGTTACGCAACCCATTTAGAGAAAGGTCTTCAACAAATAAAAATAAGATATATCACATTATTATTGCAAATTACAATTTCATTGTGAGTGATATTTGAAAATTCTATTATTTTGTTGAATTTAATTATTTTTTTATTTTTACATTTATATTTTAAATATATATATGATGTAATTATGACATCACGACTTGACTGCTTCAACCCGGTGATTGAACTGGTGGCCTGTCCACCCAGTCCTTTTTCTGATTCACTCACCGGTCCAATTTTCAAAACATTAGCCTGAGGTACTATGATAAGTTTTGGAGGAGAGGATTAGTAAAGGTATCTAACGGTTAGATTTCAAAACTAGTGAGGGGATTAATTTAAAAAAAGACTATTTTAGCCATGTTGTGTGCGTGCTTTTATGGCTTTTTGTTTTTTTTGAGTATTACATCATTATATATATATAAATTTTAAAATAATATACTAAAAAAATATTTATAAAATATAATTTTTAGGATAAATTACAAATACACCCCATGATGTTTGATTAAAATACGAATAACCCCCTGTGATTTTATTTATAAAATATAATTTTTAGGATAAATTACAAATACACCCCATGATGTTTGATTAAAATACGAATCACCCCCTGTGATTTTGAAAATTATATTCCACCCCCTGAGATTTCTAATTTTATAACGAATCGCCTCTTTTATTAATAAATTATCAAGTCAATTAACAGTGGTTTGCTGCTAATTGCTGTTCAGTGCTGGCTTTGTGTTATTTTTCCCTTCTCTCTTTTTAGTTCTTTTGATTGGTTCCTCACCAATCTTGGGTTATGTGCTAGCAGAGGATTGTGCTTCCATATCGGTGCCAACCTAGTTGGGATCGGTATGGTCAGCTACGATACTATTTGCACTTCTCGTCTTTGTTGATGTAAGTTTTCGCATGTGTCTTGTTTTTTTCATAAATAAAGTTTCTTTTTACTGATCCAAAAATAAATAAATAAATAATAATTTGTAATGATGTTAGAAATATATTTCAATTAATAATTTAGATAATTTTATTATTGTATAGGAGAATAATTATAAATTTTATTTATTTTTAGTTAGTTCTATTAAATAAAAAATACTAACAATGAGATATTTATAATTTTTCAAACCGCATGAGACAATTTGTACTTTAAGCAAATCTTAAGGGTGTATTTGTAATTTATCCTAATTTTTAATATTAAAATATATTTTAAAAAAAATTACCAAAGGATATTAATGATATTTTCATATAGTTAATCCACTCACTAAAATATATCACAAACAAAAACAATTTTTCTTAATCCATGCACTAATAATTTCATACTAACAATCCATATATTAACAATTTCATTCACCATTTGTGAGACATTCTCACTGTGTGATTTGTCTCTGGATTCGTAGATAGAGAATGTTTGAAAAAATGACTATTTTATTTAATTTTTACAAAAAAAAATTAAATTAAAATTTAAAATAATTATTAAATAACTTAACTTTTTAATTATTTTAACAAAAAAATCAACATCTCAAACGGGCCTATTGCTCGTGGTCCATCCCCCGCCAATAATTCCCTGCAGGGCTAAGGTCACCCGCCATCCCCATCTTGGACCTTAGGTTACGTGGCGAAATCCCAATCGACGCAGCAACTACACTTTCTGGATCAACGTGACGCACTTCACGTGAAAACCGACAACATTAACGCTGACGTGCCCACTTCACTCCACGTAACCATGTCCACGTAGGATCGACTAAGCACGTCAGATTAAAAAGGTATCGAAAGAGAAAAAAGATGAAGCAGGTAACAGAAAGGTCACAAGAAGTGAAGCTCAAAAAAGCTCTCTGATAAATGAACATATAGCATAGATATACATATATGCATTTCAACTATTTTCTCCCTCGAGAATGGCGAAGACCGGTGAGGGTTTCTGAAGAGTGAAGATATTGTCTTTGAACGAAGCTTTTGGGTTGAAATCTTAGTCGCAGGTTCGTTTAACTGGAAACTAATTTGAGGGTTTATTGCTTTAATCTGTTTTTCATTTTCATTTGTGTTACTGTGGATTGTTGATTGATATTTGAATTTTAAGTTTATCATTGTAGCTTTGCTTAGTGATTAGATTCTCAATGAAAGAGCATTTGATCTATTTGCTCATGGTAGGTGAATTAAAATTATATTTCTTCAAATTTTCGATTCAAAGCTCAGGTTTGATACTAGTTTCTGAGAGAGAGAGAGAGAGAGAATTGAAACAAGAAAAAAAAATTCAAAAAATATTGAACTTAATCATTAGATTCTCAAATAAAAGAGCATTTGATCTATTTGCTCAATTGTATGTGAATTAAATTAGATTTCTTCTAATCTTTGATTCAAAGCTGAGGTTTGATACTAGTTGCTGAGAGAGAGACAGGGAGAATATAAAAAATTAAAAAAAAAAAACCCAAAAAATATTGAAAAAGAAATTACACTTCGATGCAGTATGGTATACCCCATTTGCTTTTCCTTTACTTGGTTGAGTATGAGGTGTCGTTATTGTTAATGATTTTAGCCCTTTATTGGCAACCCATGAAGCAAATTATCATCTCATTCATGGATCTCATGATTTTGGATGCTCCATACTATATGAGTGATAAGACTGGTGTTACCAGAAAATGCTAACACCTTAGCATTTACGCTTTGGAACGCAAGTTTCGAAACATGGTACACTTTTATTCCAAAATGATAAATTTAGCGATCCAAAGCAATCCCGTAATTTTTCCTATGCTTTTCATTAAAAGTTCTCCTTAATAGGGAAAAAATTATATATAATGAACTAAAATGTAGATGGAGTGGAGTTTTGAATTGACAAAATATAAAACAATGGGTCATAATGCTCTTTGAACTATGTTGAACAATTGATTTACAATATATTGGATGTCATATTAAGAACGCCACCCTTGTTGTACCACGTTTTAGAGCATGCGGTGTACCACGTTTCAATTCTTGTTCCTCGTACCAGAACAATCAACATTCTAGGTAACATAGGACAGGACAGTCATGGGAACAAGAAGGGGAAGGTGGGAATGGAGACGGAACCCATAAGGAAAGGATAATTTATTTTCAACTTTTTGTTTGGTTGAGTAGCATTTTATTTTACTATTATACTTTTACGTATTAACACAAAGGTGTTACTTGAAAGGCAAAATTCTAACATAAAAGATTCATTACTTTCTCTCTTCCTCGGACTGAAAAGGGAATGCATTCAAGCTAGATTAGGGTTGAATCCAATTCAATAAGAAAATACATTGATCGTGTAATCTGACATATGGTCAATACGGATATGTTAAACATCCGATCAAGTATGGTTGTCTAATTTTGTTAACAATAATAGTTCAAAAATTTAGACATATACATTGAATTCAAATGATATTGTACTCGTATTTTCATAAAGCAATATTTTGTTGAAATGTTAACCATTTTAAATTATGTAAATATAAGCATTTTTGTCCATTGTTGATATGTTTTGTTTTTAAGAATATAGAGCTTAACTCAATATGCCGTTATCCCAATCACTAGGGGTTTAGCTATATGAATCCATTTGCCCTTTGCTGGAATACCCTGTTTGAAAAATTCTCAGGATCCATGTATATGAAGTATTAAAGTGTGACTATCAAGGTACAAAATTTCGTTTTGTTTCCATTGAAACAACCAAAACATTTGTTTCCTTGGAAATTGAAATGATTCATTGATGGAAAATTTCAATATTTCCATTGAACCATACCAAACACACCAAAACACTATGGAACATACCAAAACAATGAGTTGTTTTTATGCCTAGTAGGAATATCCAACAATGGTAATTTCTATAAGCCCCATTTTGTCATAGGAAAAGATTTGAGAACACAAAAATCTTAAATTTACTAGAGAATCTAAGAAACTAGAAAGGAGAAGTGGAGGTGATAAAAAAAAGTATGATTGAGTTACTTTTTCTTTGTTACCACAAATGTTTTTCCCCCCCTTTTTTTTCTTTTATTTTCATCCCAACTACTACTAGAATTTTGCATTATTTTATATTATTTCTTACAATGGCAAACCCTCTTCCCCAACTCTGCCGTTAAACATTTGGTTTATGAGCTTCCTAGATTCTTTGATCTCAACATGTTCAATTATTTATTGAGAATTCTAATAACCTCTTGTATAGGTTTAGCTTTTGTTTCCAAATATTTTCATATGTTTTTTATATTCTTTTGTCATTTCTCTTATGCTTCCGAAACAAATATATTTCAAAGCTATCCAAAACAACATACCAACATATCAAATTTGATCCTTGGTGTATAAATTTTAGGGGTTTTTAAGGATAGATCCCATATATGGATCTTGTATACTATTTAGTCCTACCTATGTTCTGTTAACCTTAGAGGTCCCACACTGTATTAAATGACCAAAATACCCCGCAATATATATACATCGTCTAATTCTCTGACCTAGTGGGACTCACATTTGTTGTCTCTTCTCTACGACCGCCATTGTTTCGCTGACTCCGTCATAGTTGCCACTTCTCTGTTGCCTCCACTGTTTTCGAGGACCCCATTATCTGGTGTCTCATGGAAAAAATAAGGGCATGAGCTTCACATGATAGGAGGTGATGGAAAATCTACAAGTTGATTTCATATACTAATTAACAATACATAACAACTATTTGAGAAATATATAATTCAACACTCTGTGGGTGGAAGCACATTTTAGCTTTGGGAAACGCTTGAATTTAGTTATGAATATGGAGGGATTACAAACATCTAATATGTAATCCAAATTCTCAGAGATTACATATTACAAGAAATGTGGTTTTGCCATGCCATAGTTTCAATTCTCAAAGATTACATATTACATATGTACAATTTTTAAATATATATATAAACAATCTGGTTAAATATTACAATAATCTAGGGTTTGTTGCAAAATCATACTTTTGCAAATTGTTAAGCGATTCACATTTAATGAAGAGAAAAGCTAACTGCACAGGAATTTTTCCCAGAATCAACCCACATGTGCGCCCCACACAAGTGGGTCCCACCCTTTGTGTTTGTTCTGTGTTTGGTTCTATGAAAAAAAATCGTGCATGTAGCACAGCTGTTTAATGAATTTGGGATTTGGGACTATGAAATTTGGAACTTGGATTTTATGAAGAATTTCACACTTTGAAACTGCTCACTGTGAGAGAAAAATTCGTACTGTGAAACTTCACACTGGTAAAATTGAGAGTTGTCACTACACAAAGTGTGGGAATTGGGAGCACCTATGAAGAAGTGAAATTCTATATTATTGTCAAAGTGTAAAATCCATATTGTGAAACTTCATGGGAATTGAGGATTGCACTTCTGAAGAAGTGAAATTCTACTCTTCTAGCATAAAATTGACTCTGAAACTTCAAGCAATTGTTGGAATTGAGGATTGCACTTATGAAGACGTGAAATTCCACACTTCTCTATTGTCAAATTGTGAAACTTTACACTGAAATTCCACACTTTGGGACCCAAAAAAGTGTTATTTTTTATTTATTTTTTTACATAATTTCATATTCAATTGAGATATTGTTTGATAGATCTCATCAAGTATGATTTTTATTGAAACAAATGTGTATAATAAAAGTTATAGAATTTTAAACTTTGAAACACACAAACTCAAAAAATTTGCCAAGTGAGTGTGTCTCATGTGCGCTGACTTATTTCTTAGATCTCTGCATGCATAGATAAAAGGTGAAAAGGTCCAACATTTTGCTGAAAATTTGAAAAAACAACTTAAGTTTTCAATATTTCATTTCGAGTCGTGCTAGGGAGCTCGAATCTGAGCTCCCCGAATCCCCCTAATCCCAGAAACGATGTCGTTTTTGCATTTTTTTTTTTTTTTCGGTTCAATCAGAAACGAAGAAGATGAAGAAGGAAGAAGGAGAAGAGAAGGAAGGAGGAGGAGGAGGAGGGAGGAGGACTGGAGGGGGCCCTAATTACAGGGGGAGGAGGAGGCGGAGGCGAGGCAGAGGCGGGGGCTGCCGGAGACGACGATCGGGTGAGGCGATGCCGGGTGACGCTACGATGAGCTGCTGCGAGGACACCGGGCGACGATCGGGCGGCGACTGCGAGCCCTCTTCCCCTCTCTTCTCTCTCTCTCTCTCTCCCTCCTGAATTTCTGGGGATTCGGGGGGAGGGGTTTCGAGCTCCCAAGCTTTATTCATTTCATATAATGGTACTTTATGGGATAACTAAAATAGGTATGGGACCTATTGGAAAACAAGGGCATGAAGTGGGACTTATCACTAATTTCCCCTATACTTTATGTTGGCCATCAACCTGCCACAACCCCCTCTTTTCTTCGAGCTTGGGACTGGCTTGGTAAATCTATATTTGTTATTGAAGTTATATCTAGCAGGTACAACTTTGATAATAATAATAATAATAATAACTTTTGCAATTAGATTAGACCACTCTAAATTGTGATCATTTTAGTAGTTAATGGATAAATTGATTGTATCGGATAATGATTCACAACCTGTTGCTGACTCTGGATTGTTGGATTGAATCTTGAATATATGGAAGTCCAATACTTGACATGCCTACCTATTTTTTTAAGGTGCTTGACCCAGACAAAATCCTTCCTTTTCATAAATTGGAGTTTAAACATTTTTCTTAGAACTAGAAGGGAAAAACAAAATATGATTGTGCATGATGTTGAGCTCCAGTGCCTCTGTTAAATCCTTTCATAGTATCTTGTAAAATTGCTGAGGTCAGATTAGAGGCTCACCAGCTCAAGACAAGAGAATTGATGACCACTGATGGCTAGATGTTGCTAACATATTAATGCCGAGCATGAACAAAGAAGAGGGAGAAATCTAGATTTTTACATGTACCATGCCTAGATCTTTGTATAATTATGTTTAGGGTCAATTTGAGTAAGGTTTTGATGTACTTAATAAATTAGAATTTTGCTTCACAGATTTTATGACTTTTTATTAGGTTTTAGGTGTCAAGTTTATTTCAAAAAATTTGCAAATTGTTGGATATGAGCTATAGGAGTCACCCATGAGTTGTCCTGTGCATCAAATTTCAGCCCCCCGCAAACTCAAGGGGGATAGGAACTAACCAACTTGAGTTTGGAGAGAGTAACAAAACAAGAAAATACATAAAAATAAGAGAGGATAGGTGACACTGTATGGTCGTGTCAGACCATTGGTGAAGACACTGGATGATGGTGTCATAACGTTGTAGAGGACACTGTATGGGGGGGAGAGTCATGCTAAAACACAGCAAGATTCTGTTTATGGACGAAGCAACGGCTTCTGTCGACTCCCAGACCGATGTTGTCATTCAGAAAACCATTCGCGAGGACTTTGTGTTGTTTACAATAATCAGCATAGCTCACAGAATACCCACAGTTATGGACTGTGACAAAGTGATGGTTATGGATGCTGGATGGGCAAGGGAATATGAAGCCCCATCTCAGTTGCTCGAGAGGCCTTGGTTATTAGCCCAGCAATACTCAAATTACTATGCATTTAGAGGCCATGAGGTGTACCAAACACCATTCAAGGAGGGGAAGAAAAGAGGGTCTGAGAAGCTTGATCAGACGCAGGTTGTCCATAGGAAGTCCATTGATGCATTTGGACAGAGGACTTCACAGTATAGAGGTGTCACAAGGCATAGATGGACCGGTAGATATGGATTGAATCTTGAATATATGGAAGTCCAATATTTGACATGCCTACCTATTTTTTTAAGGTGCTTGACCCAGACAAAATCCTTCCTTTTCATAAATTGGAGTTTAAACATTTTTCTTAGAACTAGAAGGGAAAAACAAAATATGATTGTGCATGATGTTGAGCTCCAGTGCCTCTGTTAAATCCTTTCATAGTATCTTGTAAAATTGCTAAGGTCAGATTAGAGGCTCACCAGCTCAAGACAAGAGAATTGATGACCACTGATGGCTAGATGTTGCTAACATATTAATGCCGAGCATGAACAAAGAAGAGGGAGAAATCTAGATTTTTACATGTACCATGCCTAGATCTTTGTATAATTATGTTTAGGGTCAATTTGAGTAAGGTTTTGATGTACTTAATAAATTAGAATTTTGCTTCACAGATTTTGTGACTTTTTATTAGGTTTTAGGTGTCAAGTTTATTTCAAAAAATTTGCAAATTGTTTGATATGAGCTATAGGAGTCACCCATGAGTTGTCTTGTGCATCAAATTATGTTATTGGGTTTTATGTGGAGTCTTTATCTTTATTAGGTTTTGAATATTCTAGTTAGTCAAAATTTCTTAATTTCTTATTTTTTAAATCATATTCCTTGTACGAATAGGAGAAGTTTAGTAACCTTTAAATATGAGTGCAATCTTTCTATTCATAGGAATTGAGTTTTCGAGAATTGTACGAAGCTTTTTTATGGCAGCTCCAACAAAATTCACCATATCAATCATTCATGTCATATTAATAATCCTAGTTGCCTTGGAAAAGGAAACCAATCACAATAATAATGATGCCACATCCCTGTCTAAGTGAAAGAAAAGAGTGGGCAAACTTGCCAGCATCTTCTTCTTCTTCTTCTTCTTCTTCTTCTTCTCTCTCTCTCTCTCTCTCTCTCTCTCTCTGTGTGAAGATTTTAGCAAATCTTGTTGACATGATTAATTATTTATCCAAAAAAAAAGAAAATGATATGATTAATTAAATCGTGTGTTGTTTACTTTCATCACAGGAATCATAACAATATTTGTATATTTTGATATAATACTTAATATTCTTCCACACCATTGGGGTGGAGTCCTGATGTTCATCTTTATCTCTTTTGATGTTTCTTTTGAACTTTACCATAGTTATCTAGTAGGAGAAATACTTGGTAAAAAATCAGGTCATTATTCTCCTCTTTATAAGTAAACATGTGTGTGTGTGTGCGTGTAATATGCTGTTTCGAAGTGTGCTGTTTCCTTGTATCTGCTTCCAAGCTGATACTGCAGTTTAGAATTTGTATTTGGTGGGTGTATTTGTAAATTTAGTTGGCAATGTTCATTGTGGTAGTGAATTACAAACAAGAAGATGTACTAACTTTTGTGGGTATTCTGTTATTGACAGGGAGACCCTTCATCAATATGGGTTCATGAATTGATCAGCTGGTGATATTTATAGCTCAAACATGAAACTTGAACATATGAAATGATGATATTATGGGATCTTTAAGTTTGTGAATAAGAAGATGGACAAAGTTTGTGAATTCTGCATGGGATTGAGACCAGTTATTTACTGTAAGGCAGATGCAGCATATCTTTGCCTTTCCTGTGATGCAAAGGTTCATTCAGCTAATGCTCTTTCAAACCGGCATCCCCGAACCCCGGTGTGTGAAGCATGCAGATACCGCCCAGCTCATGTTCGATGTTCTGATCATAGGATGTTTATGTGTCATGGCTGTGACTGCAGTCTGCATAAGGACTCCTCTCAACATCAGAAACAAGTGATTAGTAGTTTCATGGGGTGCCCTTCTGCTAAGGATTTTGCAGTGCTGTGGGGTTTTGAATTAAATAAATTGGAGAACAGTACTCTTCAAAATCAGTTCGTCTTGACTTCATGTGTGTCAGTGGATACTGGTGTTAAGAATTCAAACTTTCCAAGACAATCTATGTCTAGTCCACAGACTGGAGGCCCTTCATTAGCATCCCAGGCGAGCACTGTGACTTCAATCCTTGGTGCAGAATATGAAGTTGGACTGAGCAGTCAACACACTGAGGTAGGTGTGAGTTATCTGAGTTTAATAATTGTCATATCCATATATATGTTTGCTTGAAATATCCATTTGTATTTTTGCTTGAATCCTGAGTTTCTTTTTGTTGCCATTTTATCATTTTTCAAAGTGTTCTTTATTCTAGTTGATTGCTGTCAATCTAGTGTTCAATCTTTTTTTATAGCCCTAATGATAAAGCTTTGGGCTTATAATAACGCTGACATTTTAGTTAATAATTCAAGTCCACCATACAGAAAACATGATACTGCATATCAAAATCATCATTGATCTTCATCTAGAAGAATGTACCCATTATCCGTTTTTCATGTCTTTGCATTGTGATTGCTAATTATTTATCATCTTTCAAATCATTTCTTGTAGTTCTATAGTCCTGATGTTAGTTTCTTACCTGTTACCCATTACCATTTTGATCATATGCTATGAATGCAGAGTCAAATTTTCTGTTGATTATTTATTTATGTCAATGACTTGTATTACTTGTTTGATGCTTAACAGTAGCCCCATTTGTCACAAGACTCTCCACAAATTTGTACAGGTTACCAACCATCTTTTTGTCCGTTGATGATTGGCCATTCGTTGTTGAAACCACATGGCCCCTGATGGCCCTTTATCATCAGCAATTAAACCCAATTGCTCCTGATCTTGTCGAATCTGTCCAACCACATAACACTGCTGGTCGCTAACTTGATAAAAGATGGTTCTGTATTTTATTGGAAGCTCTCTGGTTTTTGATAGCCTGTGATGAAAGGGACAAGATTTGGGTTTATTGTCCACAAATAATTAAACTGTCAATGTACTTCTGCTGATTTTTATACTAATGCTAAGGACTTTCTCTTGATATGTTTACCATATGTCATACAACAAAACCTGTAACAAAGTTCCAAACTAGATTCATGTAATCATGTTTTCCTCTTTTAAGTTTTAGCTCTCTCTCCTTCTCGCATCCTCGTCTGTTAGGGTTTGGTAGGATTTGAATGTGAACGTTCCTTCTCCCAATGAATTCTAGTTGATGTAGATCATGCTCAACACTTGTAGCATGCAACAAAACAATTTTTGCCATGTTAATAACTATTATATCACTGTGAACAAGAAGGTCCACTGTTGTTGTTGAGTTCCAGCCTTCAATGACTTTTTGGGGGGCTTCCACCATGACACAGTGTAATGTGCTCCATTTGTTTCTTTTTAAAAACTACAAAAGCCTGCAGCTAATGTATCCATTACCCCTGTGGTGCTTCATCTTGTAGGTATTTAACAAAGGTAAACAGCAACAAGACACGTGCATTATTCTTCAACAGATTTTTGACTTGGAGAGGCTTCAACTCACTGAAGGAGACAAGAATTCATCTTTAATACGTGGCAAGCAGACAACTGACATATCTTCATCTACATATGACACATCATGGAAGCTTGATCAGTCTTTCCAGCATTCCCTTGGTCTTGGTGCTGATCCCCATCAGGAGCTAAATGTAGAATATTTTTCTTCACCATTTCCTCCATTAGAGAACTTAACTTTGTCTTCAACTGTGGGAAACCATTTGCAGGGAGAGCCCCTTTGGCAATGCAGAAGTCCAACTCAGAGTTTCCAGGTTTGATCATTTACATTTCTAGACATTCCATTGTCCCATTGATGCAATAAATTACATTATATTTGTTAAGACATTGATCCATCAATACTTCTGGTGCTAAGAGGATGCATAAGTTTTTTCTCTTCCAATTAGCACATGCATGTATTATTGCTGGAAGCAATGCTTTCCATGAGAGGGCGGCGTAAGATGCACGTCTGTTGATTTTGTTCATTTTGGTTTACCTTTTGTTAAATTCTGTGTTGCCATGATTTCACTGAGAATATTCAGACAATATCAATAAATAGCTTATAAAAATTTCATATTTAAGTGTGGTGGCTATTATGGCACTTGATCAAGTACCATATGACTCTCATCTATTTTAGGCAAAGAAGCGGATATAAATTTAGATACACTCAGCCTTGCCATTTTAGCAGGCACTTCAATGCAATTTTCAGGGTGTACCATAACCTTCTACCTCTAACCAAATAAATTTTTTTTATTTGAATCATGCCGATCTACTTAAAATTGCTATTTATGAATGTATAAGCACAACTCTTAAGCTTGGAAGTTGGAAGAGTTACCTTTGAGATCCTAAGGGATTTTCTTTGGGAAGGAAAGGATGGAGGTAAGAAGGATCATTTGGTCAATTGGGGGGTAGTTTCTCTTCCCAAGGAGAAAGGGGGTCTAGGTAGGAAACTGTGGCTAGGAATACTGCCCTTCTTGGAAAGTGGTTATGGAGATTTCCCATTGAGAGTGTTTCATTATGGCATGCCATCATTAAGAGTAAGTACGGGGTTCAAGCCAATGGGAGACTGTCATAGGCAATAATCGATCTCCTTGGAAATCCATTTCTCATATCCTTCTACTTTTGTATAGATTTCTTTCTATGAAGGTGGGCAATGGTGAGAGTGTTTGGTTTTGGGAGGACGTCTGGGGGTGATTCTTCTTTTGATGTGTCATTTATGCATTTATACAATGTGGCTTGGTCTCATTTGCTTTTGTTGCTTCCTTGGCATCTTCCTGTATGGCACCATTCTTTTGGGATTTAAATTTTTCTAGGAGTCGTAATGATCGGAAAAATCTGGGGTGCACATTTTTGTTTTTTTTTTTTGGCTTGAGGGAGTCTCTTTGTCTCCAAGCAAGGGTGGCAGGTAGGTTTGGATCATTCATCCTTCAGGCGTTTTTTCAAGCAAATCTTGCTTTGATAAAATCCTTGATGACCTAATATTCTCTCTTTTCCATTTAATAAAAGAATTTGGAAAGAGTTTATGACTTTTAAATTGAAGATCTTTATGTGGTCTTTGGTTCATGAATGCATTTTGACTAATGATACATATCAAGCAAGCAGGCCTAATCACTATCTTTGTCTTCAATGGTGCATTTTGTGTAGATCTTTGAATCATCCCTTCTTGCTTTTCTGAGTAGCATTGAATCATTTTGTGTAGATCTTTGAATCATCCCTTCTTACATTTCTGAGTAGCATTGAATATATGGCAACATCTATTTCTATTGGTTGACATTCATTGGGTGGTCCTGGGGGAGTGCTCAAATGCTACTAATTGAGTTTCGAGGATTTGGCTTCTAGGAGAGAGCAAAGTGATGTGGAAATGTGTCATTATTGCAATTTTTTTGCGAAGAATTTTTTAGGACAAGTTTGAGGATATTGATTTTTTAAGGGATAAAGTGTGATATGGTGTCGTTTTGGGCGTCTATCTCCCCTTCATTCATAGGGGTTCTGTTTTTTCTTTTTTCCTTTTTTTTTAATTTCTAGATATTGGAAAGCGGTTTGTGATGTATAAATGTTTTTTAGTTTATTTGGTGTAACAGTTATTTTTTCATTGAAGAGGACTTCTTCTCCTCTTTTTGCTTCCCTTCTATTTCTAATCAAAGTCTGTACTCCTGGTTAGCGGGGCCCATTCCTTCATCTATCTATCTAAGGTTCTTCATAAAAAAGTTTTGTTTGAAAGAAAATTTCATTCTGACAAAGGATTTACTAATCTGGAAAGAAACTATATAAATACCTTTTCTTCATTGCTTACAAATTCTCATGCCTTCCAACACATCTGCTAATTTCTGTCCTAACATTCACTATATATCCAGAAAGTAGGCGTTATTTGCAACCAGTTAAAATGGCATATTAGAGGGTTTATTTTCCTAGAAAGTTCACTAACTAATCACTGGATTATTATGAAGCTTGGGTAACCAGCTTGGGGAATGATAGAATATCACCCCCTATTTATAGATTAAGATTAGGGTTTACAAGAAATGCAATTACAAGATGATCCCCCTGAGTGCTATCCCTGAGTGCATAAAATGATTACAGACAGACCCTAGTGTATCTTTCGGCTACCTTTCGGCTAATATAATATCACTTAATATAATATGCTAACATATTATTGATAAGCATGTACACATGCATGCATATTCACACATTTAATACATGTTTTGATTGTGTGACCAGTAGCAACATATCATAAAATGAGGCCAAAATGAATGAGTTTGTTGAATATTTCTCGGTCTAAGAATATAGAGCATTGAGAGGGAAGATGTTTTTCCACTGTGATGATATTTTATACTGTATATAGTGGGAGATATAGATACCCTTCTAGGAGTAAAAGGTGCCTTTGGTCATTATAAATTCTTCTTACATCCTTAAACTCAGAAGTCAAAACCTCTGTAATTATAATTATCTAAACGGGAGTATTTTAACTGATAATAAGACTAATAGCTTCTTTCGGAAACTCTTAGTTTGGGGTAGATGAAAATATGCTTCCCATGAAATACAACTCTCCTTTCCAGAGACCTGTCTCATTCTTTTGTTTTGATTTCCTTGAAAAAGTACACAACAGCATAGTTTTTTTCGTAAGAATAATTTATATTGCTATACATGAAACAACTATATTCCAAGTTTAGAAGAAAAATGTTAAAGATTTATACACATAGCTTGACATAATTTAGAAACAATAATCTGAAATCAAATTTAGTTATCATTACTTCAGTGTGTGTATGTGAACTTTTTTATGAGGTAACAGGATCAAATGTGAATTTCCTGTAGTTAGATGTCCAACAAATAGCGCCATTGCAAGATAACTTAGGAAACAAGTGATCTTTTTTTCTTTTTTCTCTTTTTTTTGTTTTTTTTTTTTGGAAACAAGTGATCTCATTATGGAGAAGGAAATAATTATTTTTAAAAGTATAACTGAAAAAAAGGGTTGTTACTTTTGTGTTACTTTAATGCAATTTCCTTCATGGTATAAGTCATTTAGTTCACTGTCATCTTAATTAATTCATATTCTTTTCAAAATAGAAAAAGAAACTATATGCGTAGAATTCAATCACAGAAGCAACGGGGAGGGGCAGAGAGAGAGAGAGAGAGAGAAACCTCGCTTGTTCGCAGCCGCATACCGCCATTGCCAGCGAGTGAAGTGAAGAGCAACCTTGCCTCTCTCTCTCATTCGTGATTTCTTCAGTCGTCTCTGATCTCTGTTCAGCGATCCAACGAAGTTTTCTGCGGTACCCACTCTGCTCCCAATCTCCCCTCTCATCTTCTAAGTTAATGGTGCATTAAGGTGGAGAGTTTCCTATGCAACTGGAGCAAAACCTGAGTGTTTGCTGGTGTTGCCTTCCACCTGTTCGACAAAATGCCTAAGTGAACTTCTGTTACTGAGAAGTCACAAGATGATTAAGGAGAAAGAGAGAGAGAGACAGAGGGACAAAGAGAGAGACAGAGAGGGCAGCAAGCTATCAATGAAGAAGGACAAACTAGCTAAGAGCAAATTAGCCAAGAGTAAATCAAAATGTAAATCTGCTAAGTGCAAATCAACCAAGGTCTCCTTGAAGGAGTTTGATAATTAGGTGGATGCTCAAATATCTACTGATGAGATGCCTGCTGTACTCCCCGCAGGTCTACACACATCTGAGTAGCCCCCAAATCACTCATATCTGGAGATTTTGGGGGACCATGGCAAGGGCTCTCGAATGAAAACAAAAAGGGATTAAGGGATGTGGAATCAGAGGATAGCTCAATCGAGTGTGATTGTGTCGATCTATGTTTGTGTGGAAATCTTGGTACACCACGGTTGCAAATGAATGTGGAAATGCAAGTCTTAACTGAGCAATCATCAAAGCAGCACCAAACACCTAATGCATGGAACACACCAACTAGAGTGCTAACTGATCTTGATCGGTGGCCAAAATTAGCCATTGTTTCCCCACTGGTGGCAAATGAAATGATAATGTCAAATAAACTTGGCTCACCCAGTGCTGATCAAAGGAGAGAAGTAATTGGTACCAAGCAACGGAAGAGTGTTGAAAATGTGCGAGCTTGTAGTAATGAAGATTTTGTTGAACTACATATGGAAGACACAATCTGGCAAGGGTGAATGTCTTGATGGTGATACAACTGCTATATCAGGTAAGCCTCTACAAGCTTGGAGCTCTGTACTTAAAGAAGAGATTAACAAGGTGTCAAAAATGAAGTGTAAAACAGGTGCCCATAAGATTGAGAACCTAATAGATGGCATGTACAATGTCCCTATAGAGATCTCAAAAAAAGGCTTTTCTCATTGGGAAAATGCCTTGGTTGGATACTTCATTGATAAAAGATTCTCTTTCCATTATGTGAAAATTTGGGCAGAGAAACTTTGGAAAAATTTGCTTGAGGATGTTGTCTCCATTGATAATGAGTTTTTTATTTTTTAAGTAAAAAATGAAGAGGCTATAGACAAAATTTTGAAAGATGGCCCCTATTACGTTGGAGCTAGATTGATTGTTGTTAAAAATGGCAACCTAGACTAAAACTAACAAAGTGTGAATTTTCGAGTGTGTCATTATGGGTGAAGTTGTATAATGCTCCTTTGGAGATCTGGACTGAAGAAGGTTTGGGTTACATTGCTAGCATCATGGGAACTCCTCTTGATTTGGATGAGCCTTCGTTCAAGAGAAGCAGACTTACGTTTGCGAGAATATGTATTGAAGTGCCAGCAAATAAAGAGATCTCTGAGTCTTTCAAAATAAATTTTGGTTGTGGTGACCCATATGAGATTCAAGTTGAGGTTCCATGGAAGCCTCAAAGGTGTGATGGTTGTAAGACTTTTGGTCATACCACTAATTTGTGTCCTCAGAAGCCAAAGACCTTGAACCCTCCATCTTCCAAACAAGAGTGGAGAGTCAAGGAGACTAACATACAAGTTCCAACTAAATGGGAAGTGGTGAAGAAAAAAGGGAGAGATGGTGGGCAATGTTCAACGACAGTGATAAACAAAGAGGGAGAGGCGCAGAGTTTCACCCCATCAACATCTAATGCTTTTGATGTCCTTGAATCATGTGATATGGAAGAGTTGGGAAATGGAGAATTAAATCGAGAGTTGTTGTGTCAAATAAAGAGCCTACAAAGTAGAGGGGGTCCATCTCCAAGTGATCCCATTAATGAGGAGACTACAAAGGTGGATAACAGAAGAAAACTCAAAGCGAAACTTCATTACTTGAAGAGTGCTAGAGGGAAATTTTGAATCTTTTGTTGTGTTTGGAGTGTTTGTCGTCTATAGGCTTAGTTTGTTTCTTTTGAGGGATTAGTTTATTTCTTTGTTTATGTTTGTTCTCCCTACAAAGGATGTGTATTGAATTTCATTGTATATCTATCTTTCTTGGTTATAATATGACTTACTTATCCAAAAAAAAGTTCGCTGTCATCTCGTTATATAAATTAAATGGCTTTCTAAATCAAATTTTGGTATATATACTTTTTGTATGACAGATGTGAATTTCTCATTGATTTGTGGGTATGACCTGATATTTAGAAATTTACATAAAAAATTTCTTCTATTGCCTTTTGCAGCTGTGGTCTCAAAATATGCAAGATCTTGGAATCTGTGAAGAACTAGCTTGCATTAATGATTTCAACATACCTGATGTTGATCTGACATTCCAAAACTTTGAAGAATTCTTTGGATGTGATCAAGATTTAACCAGAGCATTGTTTGATGACAAAGATATGACATGTGTAAGATAAATTGATAGAGAGAGAAATACAGAGAGAATAAATTGTATGTATTATTGACCAAGGTGAAAGGAGAGGAGGTATGTGTTGAGGTCCGGCGGGCGGCCAAGGCGAGACTGCCGCCCGCCGGTGAAGCAGAATGACTAGGTTGTTAACCTTGCTCTGATACCATGTAAGATAAATTGATAGAGAGAGAAATACAGAGAGAACTCCTCCGTGAACAAGGATACATCCCTCAATGGGTTAGATCACAGCCATGCAAAAGAAATTGAGGTTTGCATTGTTGTTGCTTTTTTTTTTTTTTTTGAAAGTTTAGTTTGTGATGTTTGAAGCATTTACTGCTGTCTCACTACCCAAGTTCTGACATGTCATTAGTTTGGATGATGTGGAAACTTCTGCGGGAAAGCATTAAATGTTTGGCAAATCTTGGTAACATAAGAGGCAACTTATGGATAAACAACCCAAGTCGCTACAAAATACAATTCTTGACAATGTATGCGCAGTTTAGATGGTAAGGTTATTTACTGCTAATGGACGAAACTTCAAGAAGCAATATGTTTTTCATTTTAAAATTATTACAATAAGCTTGTCCATAGAAAAAACAAAGGAAACTAATGCAAGGAAATTCATGTCAACCAAGAGCTATTCTTGTTGATATCAGAGAGAGGTGCTCTCAGAGGTTTATGTTGATTGATGTTCAACTAGTGTAGAGTATATTGTAGTCTAATTCCAATATATTATGACCCTCAATGCCACATAATGTCTCTTGGTGTCTCGAGACCCCCATCTCTATCCTATCTCAGGCTGCATGGGTATTGCTGCGCAGTTGGTTATACTGCAGTTGCAATCTCATGGCTTAATGTACCTTAGTATATATACATTATGCATCAAATGGTTGTGAATCTTTACCGTAACTAGATATCCACATTCCAATGGCACTAAACCGTCCAAATTTAAATGACATTGTTCTTCTGGTGTTTGATAGCTTTGTACATGCACAAGGTGCTGTCATTTCTAAAGACAACCATAGTTTGATGTCTATTTAATCACTGAATTGAAATTGTTTCCAGTAATTCCCTTATTGTAAATCGTTGTTATAGCAATTGTAAATATGTAAAGATGTGTGCCAATGGATTCTGTTTAAGGCTCCAATATCATAGATATGCATGCTTAAGTTGTCTTGGCTGAGCATATTTGTCATAGATTCTCTTGTTGACAAGGAACAAAATTCCGTGTCATTTCCATATTTATTGTGGATTCCCTAATTTTTCTGGCTGATGTTTTGGTTCCTGACCTGTGGTTGCATGACAATTTTACCTTGCTGGGTTGATCAACCTTATTATGCTTATTAGAGCTTGGGATCATTGTGCATGGTTAGTTGTTTCCTGTCACAAGACTGGAGGGCTAACTTTTTTTTTGTTTTTGTTTTTGTTTTTGTTTTTGTTTTTATGTGACATATAGACTAATTGTGCCTTGCCACCTTGGTTCAGCTATTGTTTCTGTTATCGGTAGCTTCAACTCACATGTGTCCTCATAGTATTTATTGGTAGCTTAAACTCATTGTCCCTGTAGACTGTAGTACTTACCATTTTTGTTTAAAAGAGTCCATGTAAAATTGTTTTATCTCTTAACTGTACAAGCAGTATAATAAAAGTGTCTAAGCTTCTACCAACATTTTTCCAACCTAGCTATATGATGATTGAAGACAAGTAAGGAGGCTTGTTTGGCTTCTTAAGTGCATGTAAAAATGTATGTATTATTGATTGATTGTCTTGATGTAGTGTTTATTACAATTACAAGGATTCCTATTATATAGGAGTGTGTTTGGGAGTAGGTGGAGAGTAGGTGAAGTGGAGGTGGTAGTGGTGTAGTGGGTTAGGTTTAGTGGAGTAGGTGAGGTGGTAGTGGTGGTAGGTTTATGGTAAATTCTAACAGTGCATGCCAAAGGGTGCCGTGATTCAAGCATTTCAGCCAGTTGCCTAGACTGGGTGCTTTGACCTAAGAAAAAATTAGAAAAATCTAGAACTTGCATGTTTGAAACTGATTTATTTCAAACTCAAAGAGCAATATTGAAGCGGTAAACTCCCACCAAGTGAGATATATAAATATATATAATATATATACATGAAAAAGATTTATACTGCTAAGATGCTCTAAAGCTAATTAGATAAAATTTATTGAATGGCCAGAAAGTTTCACAAATCTTTTGCTGAACCCAAAGTGGTGGGTGGGGCTGCAAACGAGTCGAGTAATAGATTGTTCAAGCTTCGGTTCAAAACTTAATGAGCTTTAAAACATGTTCAAGCTTGGCTTACGACCTTTTAACAAGCCAAACACAAGTTGAGCTGGAGTGGATTGGTTTTTTTCAGTGCATATATGCTTATCGAACTGAGTAGCATTTTATTCAAACTTGGCTTGAAAATTTGACGAGCTTTAAAATATGTTCAAGCTTGGCTTGCTTACATAATGAGCAGATCTCAAACACGCATGAGTCGAGCCCGAGTAGCTTGGGTTTTTTTGGCAGCCATAGTGGTGGGTAGTTTGGTAGACATTAGACATATGTAGTAAACCATGCAGGATGCTTGTCTTGGCTTTCTTTATTCTGACAACTCTGTTCGCAATGCTTAACCTACTCACAAAGTGGTTTTTCAGAAGCTTTCTAATAATCGGTAATTTTATCGAATCTTGTTGTCACTGTATAAGATTATTGGGCAACGATTGTTTTTCTTCCTGATTCTCTAAATTACACCTTTCTTTTCTGTCCATTTTCCTTCTGTAATAACAGGATGCATCTGTTGCTTCATCTGTTTACATTATTCAATCAGCTAATCTAGACAAAGATATTGGTCTTTTTAGCTGTGAAGGTTGTTCTTATCAAATTCGACCATCTTATTCATCATTGCCGCCTTCACTTACAAAGTTCGGTGCTGAAAGCAATGCAACTGACTACATGGAAGGTTGCTTTTCACCTGTCATTGCAAGAGAGGAATCTCCATGTAATTCACCTGAACTGAAGGGTTCAGAATCCAACACCGAAGGAAATGCCATGTTGAGACACAAAGACAAGAAAGTGCGGCGGTGAGTATCAGCTCTCTCCTTGTTCCGATGATCTCCTGATTAATATCCCGTGCAAAACAAAAAATGAAAACCCATCTGCCTGATTGAAGTAGTTATTAAATTGTTGACCACCAATTCATCTCAAAGCTTAAGGCTGTTAGAGACAGGGCCCAACTTTATTATTTATATTATGTCCTCAATATGCCACCTCACGTGTGGCCAGGCTCTCCTCAGCAAACACGTATTATCGGATAGGCAGTGAAGTTCTATTGTCTGCTCTGATCCTATTTTAAATTGTTATGGTCAACAATTTAATAATTATATTTATGTGCTCAACAATAGTATCGCTGAAATAATACCCTCCTTTTCATCAATCGTCCTTTATATTACCTTAACTTCAAACTCCACCAAACTCCTAGACTAGAGTTGTAGCAATTCTTGTTTTGTCATTGTGGAGCTATTATAGTTTTGAAGCTTGATATGAGTTAATTGATAGAAAAACCTTGATCTAATAATACATGCATAATTTGTTGTGTTTATCGGAAAAGCGTTGATCATAATTAGGAACAAAACTTAATTGCTTTTCTTACCTTTTTTTCAGGGGACGGGCAGGTGACAGTTTCAAGTATTTTTAAGAATGTGTATGATTTTCGCAGGCAGAAACAGAGGGCTTGTAGTTTTTGTGTTTAGAAAGTGTTTTCAAGTCTTTCTAAGAAAGCATATAAATTTTGGGTTTGTACCATCTTGCTTACAAAGTGATAGGCAAGGTATGCTTGTTTGCAGATAAGGTTTGTCAATGCTCATATATCACATTGTAACTAATTTGATGTTGCTTTTCTTACCTTTTTTTCGGGGGACGGGCAGGTGATGTATGATTTTCGCAGGCAGAAACAGAGGGCTTGTAGTTTTTGTGTTTAGAAAGTGTTTTCAAGTCTTTCTAAGAAAGCATATAAATTTTGGGTTTGTACCATCTTGCTTACAAAGTGATAGGGGCAAGGTATGCTTGTTTGCAGATAAGGTTTGTCAATGCTCATATATCACATTGGCTTCGTTTGGGAAGCTTTGGTTGAGGCTTTTTTGGCTATTTTAATCACAAAAAACAAAATAGGCTATTTTAGCCACAAAAAACAAAACATCACATCCAACTCATAATCATTACACTTTCTCTCACAAAAAAAAGTCAAAAAAGCCAAAAAGTCCTTTCCATACCAAGCTTTTTAACCCAGGCTAAAATAGCCAAAAAAATCAAAAAATCAAAAAGTCAACCCACTTCCCAAACCAACCCATTGTAACTAATTTGATTTTCAGGTCTGGTAAACAAAATCGATATGCATCTCACAAAGCTAGAACTGATTCACGGAAGCGTGTAAGGGGTTGTTCGTTTTCTTAAGGCAGAGGGCTATGAATCTGACAACATTGATGTGACACAACGAAGCTATTGAAGGTACCTTCCAGTTTCTGCATAATGGTGTTGTACATAATAAGGCGAGCTAGGCACTTCAACAACTTGTCTATGGGTATCCTCTTGTTTATAACTCCATTTCTACCAATTCTTTCAAGACTTAAATGTATATAGCTTGTCCTTTAGTTCTAACAGGGTAAAAAATCAAAAAACAAAGAGCTAAAAAGAATTAAGGCTTTGTATTTATCGAATTCCCCTATTTGGCTTGAACAAATATAATAGCCATCTCTCTCTCTCTCTCTCTCTCTCTCTCCAAAACAAAAAAATGAATGAATGAAAGAATCGACATGTGTACATGCATATGGCCAAACTGGCTTGACAAAGAACATCGATTTTTCATTAGGTCAGGGGTATGCAGTAGATGCGGCTAGCTTAACCATGACTTAACGAGAAAGTGTTGTGATTGGGCAAATGTAGGATAATGGGTTATTCACCAAAGAAAAAAAAGATTGTGAGCTCTAGTTTATGAGCTCCTCCAGAGAGCTCTAATTTGTGGTAAGCCTTATATGATGCGATATTTTGATCTTAGTTTTAGTAGTTTTTTCTTTTTTTTTCTTTTTTTTTTTTTTTTTTTTAATTTTCACATCACTAGAGCTGAGTTTAGAATCCTAACTCTAGAACTCTCTATCATTTCTGATTCACCAAAATATGTATTAGGATATTAGGTTTGATGGCAGAGCTATGGACAAGAAGTTAGTTGTAAAATTCTAACAATAAAGTGATAATAATATTAAAAATATAGAGATTAAATTAAAATTATGGAGACTAATGATCCCAATATCTCGCCTCTTACTAAAGGGCAAAGTATTCAATTCTTTATTTTTATTCTTTTAATGAATTTTAATAAAATAAATTTTAAAAATATATAACAACACTCAAAACAAAAATATAAAATGTGTAAATTGTAATAAAAATACTAGAGGTCCTAAAAATTCTATTAAAAATTTTACCGAATGTCTCTGTGAGACCTACACGGGACCCACATTGTGTGAGTTTCACACCCATGTGAGACATTTAATAAAACTTTTAATAGAATATTTGTGATCCCTAACATTACTCAAATTGTAAACATGCGTGCATTTGGACACTTCGGTCAAAAGATACCTTGTCAGAAACCACTAACCCAAACTTGTCTATTTGTAAATGTTAATTAATGATAGCCCCACAAACCAAAGATGCTTTCTTCCCCACTTGTTTTTTATTTTTATTATTATTATTATTATTTTAAGAGATTTTTTGAAATATCCTAAGTATATTTTTTATATTTTTAAACTAAAAAATTAAGAAAAAAAATTATAGATTTTAGAGTTAATTTTTTAATTTTTTATAAAAAAATATGTATTAAAAAATTATATAAATAAGTGTGTAGGAAAAGTTAGTGAAGTAGGTCATACAGATTGGGAAGTGCAGTTGGCTGGGTAGATGGGAAAAGATTGCTTCCTTTTTGGGCTTTAATTAGACAGTGTTATTCGGCCCATGGGGCCCATCACGGGTTCCGTTTTTCTAATCGGAACCGTTCAATGTGTAGAACTCGTCGAGTGTTATATGCTTATAAAAAATCACGTTGATTAGATATCGATAGCTATCTAATCGTGTTAATTTTTTGGTCAACTGTTAACTATAACACCATCAATTTTTTATGTAAAACTGATTTGATCATGTAGTTAGCGATATTCGGTAGACGTGATTATTTACAGGTATACAGTACTAGACGAGTTCTACATATTAAACGATTCGGATTATCAAAACGAGACCCATGGTGAGCTCTCACTGACCCAACTTTACCATCTAACTTAGTGAATATATACATGTAATTTCTTTTTTCCTTTCGCTGTATTTGCTTTCAAGTTAGTACTTATAGTGACGTGAAGTTGATTTATATTTTAATATTATTTATATTAATTTTTTAATATTTTTTTAATAAATAATAATATTTTTTAATTTTTTTAATAACTTTTTATTTTTTTTTTAAAGTTCACAGGCCTAAGATTCGGCTTTCTCCACCACTTTAAAACCAACGCGTTTTTTTGGAGTCAACTTCAAGCGAGGCAGGCTGGATTTGGCCGAGTGATGTTATAGGTATATTTTAAGGTGCAGTGAGAGAGATGTTAACGATTCGAGCTAATTGAATAATGACAATTTATTTAATCATCAAATTAACATCTTGTCATCTCAATAAAAAAAGTATAAAAAAAGATTTTAACCGATGATAAAATATGTTTGCCTTTGTTCACATATTTTAAAATATAATTCTTCATTAATTTAAAAACGTAGAGCCTATAATTTTGGGTGAAGGAAAGATTATTTGGTGGTTTTGAAATAATATTTTACATTATTTATTATTTGATATTTTATTTTTTTTAAATTAATTAAAAAAAATAGAAAAAATTTGTGATAAATTTAATTTGGAAAGTGTTTAAGGCATTAGGCTCATTGAATATTTTTTGTTGGTAAGAGGTTTACCATTTGTCAAATAGTTTGGTGAAATGTTCTTTTATTTGTTTTAAAGAATATTTTGTTTTCAATTTTATTTATCTGTTTGATTTTTTTTGACTATCTATTCAAATTTATATCTATTTGCACAAATTTTTTTTCTATCTATTCAAATTATTTTTTTATCTATTCAAATTTATATCTATCTGTTTAAATTAATTGTCTTTTCGAATCTATCTATTGATTTTTTTTTGTATCTATCTATTAAATTTACTAAGTTTATTTTTAATCTATCTGTTCAAATTTTGATCATATCTATTCAAATTTTTGATTTTATTTCTTCAAATTTCGATTCTATATTTTTATCTGTTCAATTTTTGTATCAAACACAATATTATCTGTTCTGTTTTAGATTAAACACAACATTTTTTGTCCAAAACACAACAGATATATATATCAGAGATATAGCTAAAAATTATTTGCTCAATTTTAGATTAAAAAAAACAACAACAGAGCCATTATCTGTTTATTGTTACAAAAAAACAGATAAAGAGAAAGAGAAAGAAATAAATAGTGGAAATTTAGAGCTAGACACACGTACACACACTCAACTAGAGAGCTAGATACACACAACCAGAGAGATAAACACACATACAACCAACAACAACAACAAAAAATTCAAAAAAAAAATGCTAAAATCTTTGAGTTTATTTTCTTAGGCATGCGGCGACCGCTGGTAACGGAGAACTTTTTCTAGCGAGAAGATGCACTATTCAGATCATTATGTGGCAAAAAAACATCATCGAAGTTTAGATTCAAAGGTTTCACCTAGATTATTAACAAACACTTGAAAAAATACAATCATTTTGAAACTGACACGACCAATTGTTGACAAATATGAAAACAAAAACTAAAACAAAATTGTGAAATAAATCGGATCTATTCGTGTACGGAGAGAAAAATGAAAACATAAAAAAATGATGAAATTCATACACCAGAGTGAAGATCTGCAGCATTTTCATACAATTGCTTTAGTGAAACAACTCCATCATCATTAGTGGACCTATTCAAGGACTCGTCACTGCTTGAGAAACTCTCAGCCAGAGGAGGAGGCATCGATGACTACGACACCACGTGATTGTCTCATTCTTCATCATCATCGTCCTCATTCTCATCGTCTCCATATTCATACTCTTCAGCATCAATTTCATCATTATAGTTATATCCTTCGTTCTCTTCATTCTCAACTCTATTCTCCTTCACTCCATCACATCTTTTGAAACAAGTCTCACACCAGAAGTGTTCCACGATGTTGGAGACTGACGAACATGATCATAACCATCGCCATCGAAATAGTGAAAGAGAAAAAGAGAGATCGTTGAACGCTGGTCCAGATCTTTCAATCTTTACTCCCAGCTTGATTTGCAAACGAGCCGAGCAGAGCTAAGCTTTAGTATGTTTGGGGTTGTTTATTAAGATTTTAACAAACTCGAGCTCGAGCTTGAACTCGAGCTCAATAAAAATTTAACAAATCGAGCTCGAAACCAAGTTGGCTTAGGCTTGACTCGAGCTCGAGCCTGTTCACGAGCCTTAACGAATCAAAAAATTTATAAATTCATACTTGCGTATAAGACTAAAGTTACAATTAAAACTTTGATTATACAATATACATAAACATTCTAAAAAAAAGTCAATATTTTATCAAAATAATAATATCTACTACTACTATTATTATATAAATGTACTATTTATAGTTAACTATTATTTACATTTATATTTTGTAAATATATAAATAACATATTTATCTTATTTTTTATACATATTTTTATATTATTTAATATATAATTAATAAATATTAAGCGAGCCAGCTAACGAACTGAGCTTACGAGCCGAGCTTTAAAATGTTTAGGCTTGTTTATTAAAAATTTAACGAGCTTGAGCTCGAGCGAAATTTTTTTTAACGAACCGAATTCGAACGAGCTCTTATCGAGCCAAGCTTGAGTCTGTTCACGAACAACTCTATTCATTTGCAGCCTTAGAGACGACAGAGAAGAACGGATGAGGATCATCTATGAAGGAGGGTGGAGGAGCGCGACGGAAGAGGGCAGAAGAGCACGACAAAGGAAGCAATGGCGGAGTAGCGCACAGAGAGAGAGAGAGAAAGAGAGAGATAGTTTAGAGAGAGAGGGGATTAGGGTTTAGAAAAGGAGGAGAGGGAGAGAGAAAGAGAGAGAGAGTAATTATGTGATATCCGTGTATATAATATGTTTATATATATGTAAGGGTATTTTTGTCATTTTTCTTAAGCTTGTCCTTTAAGATTAAATTTTTTAGCACTTAGGCAAAGAAAATTTAAATTTACACTTTTGAACCGAGTATCCTAAAAAATAATTGTATTTCACTATTTTAATTAATAAAGAGTAATATTAACTTATATAGTTCATTTCATACAAAATTACTACACCTTACTTTTAAGGGATTGTTATTTGCACTCTACTTTTTTTTATAATTACACTTCAAATTTTATCGGGATTGTTTAGTAACATTTAAATAAATGTATTTTTTAATTTTTTATAAAAAGATATAAAAAAAAATAAAAAAATAAATCGTCCTCATTCTCATTGTCTCCATACTCATACTCTTCAGCATCAATTTCATCATTATAGTTATATCCTTTGTTCTCTTCATTCTCAACTCTATTCTCCTTCACTCCATTACATCTTTTGAAACAAGTCTCACACCAGAAGTGTTCCACGATGTTGGAGACTGACGAACATGATCGTAACCATCGCCATCGAAACAGT